CTATTATTATTATCATCATTATTACATTATTATCATTATTACATTATTATTATTATTATTGTTATTATGATTAGTATTATTATTGACATGTATTGTAATGAAATATTGTTGTGCTGATGTGTTTGTGTGTAAGTCCCAGCGTACCTCTAACCTGTGTTGTTGTTTTCTGCAGGCGGGCGGCGATGAGATGCAGAAGAAGAAGCAGAAACTGATGGAGATGCAGAGGAAGAGGAAGGAGGAACAGGAGAGGAGGAGGGTGGAGAAGGAGGTAGAGACTGCTCGCAAACAGGAGCAGAAGATGTGAGTGGTGGTTGTGGTGGTGGTGGTGGTGGTGGCGGTCAGTGTTGTTGTTGTTGTTGTGGTGGTGGTGGTGGTCGTTGTGGTTGTTGTGGGTGTTGTTGTTCTTGTGGGTGTTGTTGTTGTGGTGGGTGTTTTTGTTGTTGTGGGTGGTGTTGTGGTTGTTTTTGTTGTGGGTGGTGTTGTGGTTGTTGTGGTGGTGATGGTGGTGGGTGTTGTTGTTGTTGTGGGTGGTGTTGTTGTTATCCCACATACAGGGTGAGGGTGTGGGTGGTTGGCGGGTGCTGTGGTGTGGTTTTCACCATCTGTCCTAGCAAACATTGATTGATTGTCCTTTTGTCTGGTTCTTGTCTTTGTGTCACTCTGTAGAACACCTGGTCACTCTGGCACTTTTATCACCTGTTTGTGTTGCTAGTGCTGTCAAACTCTTACTAAAGCTAGATACACATTTAGTGTTTGGTACTTTTAGAACATTTTTTAAAAAAGAATGTTTTTAAATAATTTATTTTATTGAAAAAAAATTTCTTTTAATTTGTATTTGTTAAATGTACTTATATGACCTATTTGTGTTGCAAGTGCCGTAAAACTCTAATAACGAAAGCTGAACGTCTCTGTGGGCAGGATGAAAGAGGAGGAGGCGGAGAAGAAGAAGGTGGAGGAGAGAACGCGGCGTGAGGCTATCTTCCAGCAGTACCTCCAGCGTAAACAACAGGACGATGAGGAACCGAACCCCACACCGCCCGTGAAGCACCGCAAGGACAAGAGGAACAGCAGCGGCAGTCGGCCACGACCCAAGTCTATGATGGCCAAAACCAAACCCATGACGCCTGAGCCTGGTGAGTTGGGCTCGCTCTTTGGGAATTTTATTTATATATATATGGTCTCTTTTAAGGACAAGCGGGCTAACCCAGATTTCGGGGGTTTCCAGAAACCTTGACCTACACCAAAAGTGGGCATTGCCCGACCTATAGGAGAAGTTTGGTTTCATTGGTGTGTATATTTGTTTGGTTATAGAGAAAACTCTCCTTGTCTTTTAAAGAAACTGAACAAGGGGCAAAAACTTCTTCCTTTTTCTCAAAACAACATTTTTCAGGATAGCCTCTTTGTGCTTAAAAGCGACCATATTATTGTGCGCTGTACAGATGCTTTTTATCATCTGCTGTTAGACAGACGCTGTGCTTTGTGAACGGACTTATAAGTGAATGTAGCCATTTGGTGTTGCCTTGTTTGGCTCTGATAAATGTCCTTGGTGTAATTTTCTGAACGTGTAAATGTGGGATCCGTGGGATTTCTGTTTGTTTCACTTTTCATCGTCAAGGGGGATTTTGATCACCAAACTTGAAGAACACAAAGTTTTGACCAATAGAA